AAATAATGCAAAGCTTAAGACCATCAGATATAGAGATTAAATTTATGAGTACTTAAAGCTGACAAGATCAACTACCAAATACCAACTTTGAAAATGGGCATTATCTCAATTAAAGGCAAACAGGCTAAAAGCCATGACAGTAATCTCATTAAAGTATTTCTATTTTAACCAGGAAGGTTTCAGAACCTAATATAAAAAATGGTCTTTTAGTAAAAAGCATTTATAAACAGCCACAGTAAGAGTGTGAAGGACACTGTTTTCCCAACAAAACCATACCATACCTTCATCAATTCAAGTATTTCTACCTTATCTACAGAATAATTTGTTTGATGAAAAATCTATTCTGTTCCTCAGAAAGGATTCTTCTTAGAATAAGTACACAAGTCAGCAGAGGTAGGTTGTGCGATTTAACCAACAGAATCTACTCAAATCCTTCTAGCTTACAGGTACCAGAGAAGGAGCAAGGTAAGACAGGGTGCATGGCCAGGCAGAATATCTTAGATAAGACCAAACAGTGCAACTGGAAGACACAGATAGGCTTTCAGGCACAGAAATCCCAGATTAGGTCTTATCTGTGTGCTTGAAAACATCTTTGTTTTTTCCAGATACATCTGTTAGTTTAATGCAAGATATTAGCTCTGCAATCCTTGTATTGTCTGTGTCCTTAGACTATTAAAAATTTGACAACACAACAAACAAAAATAAAAGAAGAATGAAACAACATTCAAAAACTGGACAACAATTACAGGTTCAGTGTGTTCTTGGATTTAAAGTTTGTTAAAATAACCTGAAGTGACTTTCCTCCTTCAATAGCATATACTCAGGCACAAAAAAATACGAGGCCTGGAAACAGAGTTACTGTGCAATGACTSTTTCGCTGCTCTCGCTATGGTGAAACACTCTCCATTACCGGTAAATTTTGCAAGACCAGAGTGCGCGTGTGTGTATGTGCGTGCGCACAGGTGTATTTTTTAATTTAGAGACTATCTCTAAAGAAAGGTACTTGAGATCCAAGTCTGGATAATGATGTTTGCGGCAATGACAAACTAAACTCCTTAGACAATAAGAAACCTGTTCCTACCAGATGCAAATTAGGGGTAATTCTATTATTGAATTGTCCATGAATTCAGTGAAACTACAGTCTAACCATTAGATGTAACCATTATCTATGGCCTCAACACATAACCAGCATCATGCAAATAAATAATAAACTTCTAAAAAAATCAGGATGACAGAATGAACCTCAAAACAGTGAACATACTCGTTATGCTGACAGTCTATTTTAACACTTCTCATACAGAGGATTCTGCTAATCCCAATGAATATTCGCTTTCTTCTGAGCAGGAGCTTGAAATTTAATGCATAAATTCACACCTCTCAAATAGAAATCTTTCAGAAGTCAACAAAATACAACATTTTCCGTGTTTCAACTTTAGCAAGTCCTTTGCATTTCAATTAATTACACATTATTTGTATACGATTATATATAAGATAAAGAAAATCAGTGTTCAAGCTCAATATTAAGTTCCTACRCATATAACACATTAATAAGATTCTTTTTGTATTCTCTCCTTAACATGTACTATTCATGCCAGGCAACAAAACATTTCCTTGAGATATTATAATTACTTTATCTAATAAAAAAACCACATATGTGTTCTGAGTGCAAGCAAACAGCTAGCTGTTATTGTTGAGACCTTGTAGTGAGTTCCAGTCCCTAAGGATCAGGCGTGATGGAGGTCCCCAAGCAAACAGCTAGCTGTTATTGTTGAGACCTTGTAGTGAGTTCCAGTCCCTAAGGATCAGGCGTGATGGAGGTCCC